TCGCTCGATTCCCTGGAGAAGAAGCTAGAAAAGCAATCGTAGATTATCCAATACGTTTTATGTGCCTTTATTGTGAAGGCACATTCAAAAGGATGGTCAACCTTCGGGAGCATGTGGTTGGGAAAAACCACCCAAATCACAAAAAATGGCACATACAGTGTCCAGCTCGCAGAGACAAAGAAGAAATCCCAAACGAGGGATTCGTTGATGAGGGCTCATCTTCCAAGAAAATATCCATGGGCCGCCTTTAAATGTGTGGACCCGTCATATGACGAAGGACGAGAAATATTCAGAGTATCAGAGACCATTCAGCGACAATTTGACACTAACCATATCGATTTCCGTTCGCGGGCTAATGTACCTTCATAAATGTAATCAATTTAACTTACATTTCAATAAAAGATACAATTTTTGAAGTAAATTCAACTTTGCAAGCATCTTTTATGGTCTTATTCTTTCTTTGTCAAAGGGCGCTATTGAAACAAGGTCAAAGATGAAATTTTTTACAGTCGTGAGATGGATTTGTATCTAGTTTATACTTAGGTACTATTTACTTCAAAATAGATGTCAGCAATCAGAAACTATAATAACTTGAGCTTTTTAATACATTTTCAATGAGAAAAACAAATTACCCTAGTGAAACAAGTATTCAAGGTTGAAGATGAAATTTTTCACAGTCGTGAGATAGATACATATCTAGTTTATGATTAGGTACTATTTAATTCAAAATAGATGTCATCAATAAGAAACTGTATGAAATTGAGTCTTTTAATACATTTTCAATGAGAAACAATAAGAAAAACAAAGTTTTTGAAATTGAGTACATTTTCAATTTCTTCTTGATTTCGAGTGAGAAGAAAGCAATTCATTAAGAGTCATGTGCTCATTCATGCGGTCAAGCTCATAATCAGCTAAAATCCGTTAATTTTATGAGCGATTAATTCACGTGTGAAATGGCTTCTCACCCCGTTCTGCAGATGTTATCAGTTGTTTTCAAAGAGTTATCAGCAAACTGAGATCACTTTCACTCCAACCTTCAACAAGTAAACTTAAAACTGTGAACTTTATAATGTCGTCTTTATTTAAAAAATTGTGACTTAAAAAAGATGAATCATCTA